GGGGGGGGGGGGGGTTTGAGGGGTTTCTCCATCCACAAGTAGAAGCATGCAAAGTCCAGTGCAACCACATTTCTTTTAGCGGCTCCTCTGTAGAGCTACTGTTGGTGTAGTAGCACAGTTTTCACCTTTTTAAAAGAAGTAGTACAGCCTGTTCTGATTTTGCTTGTTTGTTGTTTGTGCCAGCTGATTTTCAATTTTTTTTTTAATATCTTATTTGGTCCAAATGTGCACCAGGAAAACTCTGCCTGCTGAAATGATCTCCAGAAACAATTTCAGTGTTTGGAGCATACTGAAGAAATGCATCGGCATGGTGAGTCCTACCTGCTTCCTAACCAAAAAACTAGGAGAAACAGACAAAGTTATGCAAAAGCTGATGTTGTTATGCAGCAACTCAAGCAGTTTAATCTGAATTCAGACGAGCTGTAGTCAGATTCTACTGTGATATGTGTCTTTTTTTTAAATATTTGAGTACGTGCATGTTTCAGCTTTCATCGCGCCTCTACAAGATTAGTCATGTCTGCGCTCAGCTCGCTATAATTGGTTTGGAAATGGCATTTTACTTTTGCATCCGCATCCATCTGAAAGAACCAAAATAGCTTAAATGAAACATCAGAACACAAAGAACATAAAACATGTTTTTGTGACCCTCTTTTTTTGTTGTTGTTGTTGCGTAATAGTTCAATAATGTGATGCATGAGTTGTTGGAGGAAGGTATTCTGTGTCACACGTTGAATCTTGATCTGGTGTAAAAGCTCGTACGTTCCTGCTCATTCCTCTGCTCTTTGATGTTTCTGTGTGCTCTTACAGGAGCTGTCCAAAATAGCGATGCCGGTCGTGTTTAACGAGCCGCTGAGCTTTCTCCAGAGAATCTCGGAGTACATGGAACACACTCACCTCATTCACAGAGCCTGCAGTTTGTCTGACTCCATAGACCGCATGCAGGTACAGATAAAGATCCACTTTGAAGTTGTGTTTTTTTGTTAGATTTTCTGGTTATTTTTGTTTCTCTTTGAAATTAATTTCCTCCTGCGTGAGCTCTGATCTAAACACACCTAGACAGAGGATAATAACAGATCTTACTCTGATTTAAGGCTGCATTCAATCTACCAATTATTGAATTATTTGGTCTTTAATGTCTGAAAACAGTAAAAAAAAAGACCCATAAAGTTTCCTAGAAACCAAGTTAACCTCTTGATGTAGTTTGTTTTGTCCGATCAACATTCCAAAACCCCCAAAAAGGAAGTTTTACTGTCATGAAAGACAAAGAAAGTGTACAAATCATGACTTTTGAGAAGCTAGAAACAAGGGAATGTTATAACAATATGACAAATTATTAATTTCCTGTCAATCGCTCTGCTCTGATTCACTTCACGTCTCTGTCGCAGGTTGTTGCTGCGTTTGCTGTTTCGGCTGTAGCATCTCAATGGGAAAGGACTGGAAAGCCATTTAATCCTTTACTGGGGGAGACATATGAGCTCATAAGGTACCGGAGACGCTTATAGAAGTTTAAACAGTTTTGTTTGGATAATAAATTGACATAAATGAACCAACATTTATTTATTTATTGATGTGAGTTTTGTTTTTTGTTTTTAAGAGAGGACGAAGGATACAGATTGATCTCGGAGCAGGTGAGCCACCACCCCCCCGTCAGTGCCTTCCATGCCCAGTCTCTGAAGCAAGAGTTTGAGTTTCACGGCTCCATCTACCCGAAACTCAAGTTCTGGGGCAAAAGTGTGGAGGCTGAGCCTAAAGGCACCATGACGCTGGAGCTGCTGAAGTGAGTGTTTGCGTCTGCATGCTCTCTCACTTCGTTTTGGTTGTGCTTTAAGCTGCATTTGATTGTTTTGATTATTTGTTTGTACTCTATGTTTGCATTCGTGTAGATGGCTTTTTTTTTCTTGCTTTCTTGACGACTTTAATATTTACACCCAAACTGGAGACAAACTTTGTATGAAAATGTGAAAATTTAAGTGTCCACGATGCACAAACAATCTTTTAATCATTAGTTTGACATTTTAGGAAACACAATATTCACACAGCATTGTGAGCAGTGAATCTTCTCTCAGCTAGAAAACAACTGTGGATATTTCCCAAAATGTCAAACTATTACTTTAAGATTCTGGTTTTTTTTCTTACAGACATAAAGAAGCGTACACGTGGACAAACCCAATGTGTTGTGTTCATAACATCATCTTGGGGAAACTCTGGATTGAGCAATACGGAACCGTGGAGATCGTCAACCACAGGTATAGTGACGGACTTCACAGCTCCATTTAAACTGGTTGGAGCAGTGATTATTGGCTGACACCTGTTTTGCATTTCAGCACGGGAGATAAGTGCGTGTTGAACTTCAAACCGTGTGGCATGTTTGGGAAAGAGCTGCACAAAGTAGAAGGTTATATCCAAGACAAAAGGTAAAGTGATCACAACAACACCGTTAATAACCCGTAATAATAACAGCTGGTGGATCTGAGTCATTTTCTCTCAGCTGAATCTGATGTCTTTGCTGTGAAACCAGTAAGAAGAAGCGACGAGTGATCTATGGAAAGTGGACGGAGTGCATGTACAGCGCGGACCCGAAGGTCTACGACGCAAACAAGAAGTTGGAGAAGAAGACGGCGGGAGACTCTAAAAAGCTGAAACCGGTGAGTGACGCTTAGATTCCCACTCGATTTTCTGCTTTGACAGCTTTTACAGTTTGTTCTCACGTTTGTGTTTGACATGTTTTTATCTGTCTTACAACGAGAATATTGCCCATCGCTCTAAATATGTTTCTCAAACGGTATCTTTTCCTTTCACAATAACATGCAGTGGCATTAGTGGCAGGTAAGGTAAAAGTGTATTTGATATCTGTAGTGTGCTACTGCTGTTGTCTAGTTCAAGTTATGTTCAAAGTGTAGTGTATGATTAGATCATTGCCAGCACTAATCCATAATGTCTTGCAATGACTTGCATTGTTGCTTGAGAGACGTGTTGAATTTGTGGCAACTGTAGTTCTGTGGATCACCTGTTTGCACATGTACCGTGCGTACTGTGAGCTTTAGCTCGGTTAGCTTGTGTCTGATGATGTTCTTTATCTTTGTGTGTGTAGGGGTATAGCTGTGAAGGCGAGGAGGCAGATGAGATGCCAGATGTTCAAGAGACTGTGACTGTGATACCGGGAAGTGCCTTACTGTGGAGGATAAAGCCGCGGCCTGCTCACTCAGCACAGGTCAATATCTCACACACACAAAAAGCTGAAATGTTATTTAAAATGAGTTTTCTGTAATAGTTTTTGAATAAAAGCATAAGAATGAAATATAAAATAAAAACACAGCAGTAAAGTGATAATCCAGCTACCAGAACTGTAATCTAGTGTAATAACTGATTTTTGAAAGACATTGTCTGCATGGCACTAGAGGTAAAAAGATCATTAAGTCATAATATCAGTGAACCAACCCTTTAAAGGTCCCATGTGTAACATTTAGGA